ATGCCTTGGATTCTATCTCAATCTCACAAAGATAATGAATCAATGATGGAGATGAGTGGAAGGACTTTGGCTAAGCTCACAAGGTTGCTATGTCAATGCAAATGGCTAAAGAAGTGAGCTTGAGCCGGTCATGGGGCTTAAAAAGAGAGCCCCCACAAATAGAGCAGTTGGCTCTCTGTTCTCTAAAAAGTCAGGGCGATCGGACACACCGGTCAGATCGACCGGATGTAGGACCCCAGCATCCGGTCGCACGATGCACGCCACGTGGCCCCTGCTCCAAACACTAATCGCTCAATCTCAACGGTCATCAGTACATTTAAGTTGTGACCGGACGCACTGCTCAAAGTGACCGGACGCAGGACCCCAGCATCCGGTCATTTCCAGTATGGTTCCATTCACGACCGGACACGTCTAGTCACTCCCGACCGGACTCACCTAGCGTCTGGTCACTCATGGTCTCCTCTGTGCGCCGCCACAGCAGCACGACCGGACGCTGAACAGTGTTTAGCCTACGTCCGGTTAAGAGACCGAGGGCGGCCTTCATTACGCGCCACTGACCGGACGCAGGACCCAGCGTCCGGTCACTGCTTGACCAGCGTTCGGTGCACTCTGTGAAACCCTGTCTTTTCTGTACAGTCCGCTAGTGAAGTTTCGAACCCTTGCTCCCAAAGAGCTAAACACAATGTGTATCACTTTTGTGCATGTGTATTAGCATATTTTCACAAATGTTTTCAAGGGTATTAGCACTCCACTAGATCCTAAATGCATATGCAATGAGTTAGAACATCTAGTGGCACTTTGATAACGGCATTTCGATACGAGTTTCACCCCTCTTAATAGTACGGCTATCAATTCTAAATGTGATCACACTCTCTAAGTGTCTCGATCACTAAACCGAAAAGCTCATATCAATTTCACCTTTGCCTTGAGCTTTTTGTTTTTCTTTCCTCTTTTTTAAGTCCAAGCATTTGATCATCACCATGGCATCACCATCATCAAGTTATGATCTTCATTTGCTTCACCACTTGGAATGTGCCACATATCTCATAATCACTTTGATAAACTAGGTTAGCACTTAGGGTTTCATTAATTCACCAAAATCAAACTAGAGCTTTCTGTAGGTCAGAGCTCAGCTCATCCTTGCCTTGGTGGGACGCGAGCGGCGCGATCAGGACGCACACGCGCAGGCACTATAGACAAGGCGTGCGCGCGTCCACGATCGACATGGCATGAGCGACTGCCGCGCCTTAATGGGCAAGGCGACAGCAGGCACGGCCATGTGCCGATGCTGCGGATACGCCAAGCGCGCGCGCAGCAGCGGCAGGGCCACCGGCAGGGCGAACAGCGATGCAGAGCCGCAGGGGGGTGTGGATGCGACGGTGAGGTGACGACAACGCAGCGTGGCCGTGGCGGCACCAATGGCGGCAATGCGAGGCAGAGTAGCAGGGCGCGGGGCCAGCGGCTCGCTATGGCCAGCCTCGGCCAAGCCCAGGCGGCTCGACCAACCCAGCATGGTGGCACAGTGGGACCGCGCAGGACGTGGTCATGTGCGCGGCGCGGGGTGGCCGCGCGGTGACCACCCGCACGGCACCGACCATCCCGAGGTAGTGTCGTGCACGAATTTTAAAGCGTCCAAAATGACTAAACGGTTGCTTCAGGAGCCAAACCATCTTCACCATGCTCAAAATAATATATGAGACTACCAAATTGAGCTATAAGACTACACCACCCCTTAACCCAATCTCTCCAAATAATTTGCTAAACATAGCAATGTCTAGCTGTTGACAAACTTGGAAATTTGCTAAGTTTTTGAGCTGAACTTGATTTCAATTTGCAAATTCTAGGCTAGTAGAAATATTAGCTAGTAATATCATTTTTCGACAACAAGTATTTCACTGTCATCTACAAAGTTTGTACTTCAAACTTTATTTAAGTATCACACACATGTTCTATAGTATTTTTGCTTAATAAAAATTGGTTTTCAACCCTACTTGATATACATGAGCTATTGAATCAACTTTCATTTAGCATTTTTATTGATCATTTTAAGTTACAAGAAATTTATCTACACATTCTATCACATGCATTAACACATAAACATAATGCTCATGACATGTTTTAGTAAATGATTTAGGTTGTAACACCTAGGGTGTTACACTAAGTACGTAATTTACGAGTTTATGGAGCAGAATGACACAACTGAATAAGTTTGAGAACCTAAATGGGTAATTGGATGACACTGCGAACAAGTCTGAGGACTACCAGTGGACTTTACTCAAACAGGAATATGACCATCACAACCTCTTCGTCTATAAAACCAGACACACCCTTAGTAAATTGCATTTTACAAATTAGTTCTCAAATCATAAATGTCGACCTTTCCACAAGTGGAGGTAGGCAAAGACTATGTGATTCCTCAACAACGTTGAATGCCAATAAATATTTACCGTAACCTTACTTGACCTTCGATAGAGTTGAGGAAGACATGGGCTTCAATTACTACTGGTGTTCTTGGTGCGGGCGTAGCTAGATCATCGGCTGTAGGCCGTACGGAAATTGGATGTCCGAGGTACAAAATCGAATTTCCAAGAACTAAGGTCTGTAGGAGTGATAAAAGAATCGAGCGTTGACTACCTTAAAAGTTGTCTAAAATTTCGTTGCACAATTATGGATCTCCTAAAAGTGAAAAAAATGGTGACCATCGCGAATGCAAATATGGATCTGTTTTGTTGTTGTCTAACCTTACCATAGCTAAGGTTCAGCGAAGTATGGCGGCCACTGAAAGTGTGGCCAACAAAATCTGGTGCCATACTTATGAGCTGCAGCAAAGTTTGACTATTAAAGAGCTATGCCATATTCAAACTATGACAAGTTCTAGTCATAAGCGCATGGCGAAATTTTTTTTCACAAAAATCAAACACGAAACTACATGAATGCCTTAGAGTCAAAAGAGCAACGCGCGGATGAATAATCGCAAGTCGTAACCACCAATAACCGGCTAAACTAACTTATGTGCATACTAGAAAACAACCCCATATGTTCACAAAAAAAGGAAAACAACCCCATAACATCAACTCTTCAAACATGGTGTTGTCCAAACTTCACAATAAGAAATATACAAGCAAAGAGCAGATCATTTACACATCAATCCCCATCATTAACGTATCAAAGAACTCATGTATGCCTCATATGTCAACTCAATCATACACCATGAACTTTAACAAAATGGCACTAATAGCAAGTAAGATAGGGACCAATTAACAAATAGACACCAAGATTTATGTGAAAACCCCTTGCGAGATAAAACTACGGACGACATGAGCAAGCAATCCACTATGAAGATGAATGATACGAAAGGTGAGAGCCAACAAGGCTGGGGAAGCTCCAAATCCCAATAATGTTTACTTCTCTAGTGCTGGATCTGGTAGATCAAAGTCTCACCATCTCCTCTCTCGAATCCTAACTCTCTCCCCCTCAAAAGCAGATGAGCAAGCCCCACATATGAAAGGGATCTCGGGTAGCTCTTTTGAGCTAAAATGAACACTTTGTGATAGGCCCTCTAAAGTTGCGGATTTCATAAAAAGTTCCTATACATCTAATCAAATATATGAACAATATTTTGCATATGTAATTGCTCAAGTGAACCTCAAATTTTGCATATGTAATTGCTCAAGTGAGCCTCAAATGGTGTCAATAGGAGTTGTAACATCACACAACCTTTGAAACGGAGAAAAACTAAATTTTTTTAGAAGTTCAAATTTCTATAAGAATTTTTTTCCCATTAGAGCTTTTGGAACAAAGGTACGAATTCATTCAAAATTTCTATGAAATGAGCTATCCAATAGGACTTTTGAAGAAAATAAGCATATAAAGTCCAACCTCATTTCTTCTTTTACTATGTCTTAGGATGCTTGCTTACCATCCAAACGCCTCATTCGTTATTCTTCCTCATCCTGTTTTCTATAAAATTTTAATTGGATAGGCACGCCAATCAAACGTTTTTCCTATTCCTGATTGGCGTCAATTTTGATTTCTGAGTGGCACATCCTACATTGAAATCTCGTCGACGTCAATTTTGAGTTCTGAGTGGCACATGCTACTTGAATGGCAACCGTGCTCGATCTCATTTCAGTACGCGTGAAGCAATCGCGTTATCCCTCCTCCACCTTGCCTGCCGGCAACGTCTAACACCCTTTGGCACAAGCAGCACAAAAGCATGCCCCGCCCCGGTTTGCTCGAGAAGAGACGGAAACGTTCCATGATTTCCTGCAGCGATTCCAGACTATGATCAGAAACAGTCGGTTTCTTTGCGTCTCCCCCCCTCTCCCTTTCGTGGCGATAGACAAAAAGTCTAAGGCTTTGTTTAGATACCCTCAAAATTTTAAGTTTTTTCACTCTCTTCATCACATCAATTTTTAGTTATTTGTATGGAGCATTAAATATAGATAAAAAAATAACTAATTGCACAGTTTAGTTGGAAATCACGAGATGAATCTTTTGAGCTTAATTGGTCCACGATTAAACAATATTTACCAAATAAGACGAAAGTGCTATTATTTATCGAGTTGAAATTTTTTTCAATCTAAACGAGGCCTAATCAGATCACGCGGGTCACTGTCAACTTTCGCTTTATCAGCTCAGAAATCTCGTCGAAATTAGTCAGTTGACGACGACCGACGCGCGCATTTTCTTAAGCCGAAGCATCGGAATCTTATCCGGTGCCCACTCGCTCACGCGAGGGGCTCGTGTTCCAGCCTTCCAGGCGCCTCTGCTGCCTGGAGCCCTCCGCGACGTTGCTCGGCCTCGTCTCGGCGCAGGCCCCGTCCGCGCCGGCATCGCGCCGCGCGGGCCATGCTGCGTTGCTGCCGCACGACACGTCACTTCGGGTCGTTCTTTTTAAAAGGCGCCCCCCGGACCCAGACTCGCCGTCACCGCTCACCACTCTCTCGCGCCTGCTACCCGCCTGCTCTCTCTGTCTGACGCGCCGCCCCTCGCGATCGATGATGGCAGCTGCGGCGTGGCTGTGTGGACTCCTCTCGCTCCTGGCCCTCGCCGCCGCGGCGTCGGCGGCGGATGGGGCGGAGGGTGAGTGGGAGCCGCTGATACGGATGCCGACGGAGAAGGGGGGTGACGCTGCTGCTGCTTCTGCTGCTCCGGCGGTTGAGGAGGATGAAGTGGGGACGAGGTGGGCCGTGCTCGTCGCCGGCTCCTCCGGCTACGGGAACTACCGGCACCAGGTGAGCCCGCGGCGGCCTCATCTCTAAAGTGCTGTGAGGGCCTAGGGGGCAGAGACTGGAGAGCATGGGATGGATTTCCCCTCCTGCTCATGCCTGTTAGCTTGATACTGTTGCGACTTTCCGATTGATTCGAAGCGTTTCGAGTTTCGATGCTTCGAATTTGTGGGGATTCAAAGCTGATCTGCACTTCCGTTCGCTATGTGAGTTTAAAATTGACTGTATAGACACGGTTTGCCCGTGAGATTTAGGTATGAAGGACCGGGCTGTCCGATCCCTAGTTGCTTTGCTTCGTTAGAAAGGTCCATACGTGATTTGGCTCAGCTGTTTTGGGTGGTTGCTACCTAGGTGGATAATTATAGGTGCGAGACATGCTTCATTGGTGACAGGAATTTTGTTTGACTGAATATCTGTTAGGAATGTGGGGGCTATTTGAGGTATATATTTTTTATATTACGCCTGGATTCTAATGATTGAACGTGCCACATAAAAAAATAATGTTCTGTCGTGCTTTCTTCTGCCACGCATAAACCAGTATATTTGTTTATTGTGTGTTTGCTACAAAATTTGTTGTATGCAAACATTATGACTGCTTACTTAGGGCATAATGGTACACTTGATGCTTGGCAGGCCGATGTGTGCCATGCGTACCAGATACTGCGGAAGGGAGGAGTGGAGGAGGAGAACATTGTGGTGTTCATGTATGATGATATTGCCCATAACATTCTGAACCCGAGGCCTGGGGTTATCATTAACCATCCTAAAGGCGAAAATGTCTATAATGGTGTTCCAAAGGTAAATACTTGATGTTTCTTCACTTCAATCTCAGTTTTGCACAAGTGCATGAGTAGCCTACCCTCAAAATCAAAATATGATTGTGCTTTGTGATCACATATGGATTGGCAGCTCCAATTGCTCATGTTTGGCACCGACTTGATCAACTTCACATTCATTGCAGGATTACACAGGTGATCAGGTCACTACTGAAAACTTCTTCGCTGTCCTCTTGGGCAATAAAAGTGCTATCACTGGAGGGAGTAAGAAGGTGATAGACAGCAAACCTAACGACCACATTTTCATCTATTACTCAGATCATGGGGGTCCTGGAGTTCTTGGTGCGTACTTTGAACTTACTGTGTAAGGGATGTTGTTCAGTTGATTTTCTGTATGGTACTTAACTAAGCAAAAATTTAGGTATGCCAAACTTGCCATATCTGTATGCTGGTGACTTCATCAAGGTTTTGAAAAAGAAGCATGCTTCCAATAGCTACTCAAAAATGGTATAGATCCTTCATTTTCTTCTCCAGTCTATAAAAGTCCATTCTGGATTTGATACACTTTACATTGAATGTCAGGTTATATATGTTGAAGCATGTGAAAGTGGCAGTATCTTCGAGGGATTAATGCCTGAAGATCTAAATATTTATGTCACAACAGCCTCAAATCCAGTTGAAAATAGTTGGGGAACATACTGCCCTGGGATGGAACCATCACCCCCTCCTGAGTACATTACCTGTTTAGGTGATCTGTACAGTGTTTCTTGGATGGAAGACAGGTAAGACCATAAAACTCATTTGAGATCCACTGCTGTGCAACATTATTATGTTAGATCAAAATAAATTCTAGCTTTTCTACACTCGTGGAAGGTATATCTTATGGAGCCTACATATTTGATATGTCGTTTTGCCTTTTTTAGTTATATAGTGTGATACAATTCAAGTTATACTGGGTATTTTTATGCTTGGACTATTGTGTTATTGCCCATGATCAAACTGCCTTTTTTCATGATTGGTCCATTTGTTTTATCTTACTTGGTTCATTCTACGCAGCTAAACTTTGCGTCAACATTGTTATTTGGAGCCTATTCATGAATTCTTTTCTAAATTTGTACATACATGTCATGTGACATGTCTTCATATCGCGTTAAAGAAATGCTACTCCCTCCAGTGTTCTAGTTCTGTCCAACCTCCAACTTTATAAAAAAATATATTAACATCTACAATACCAAGTAAATGCACTATCAAGACATATTTCATGGTGGATTTCGTGAATCTCATTTGATGTTGTACATATCTGTGTATTTTCTATAAACTTGGTTAAAGTTAGAGAATTTGACTTAGGACAAAACTACAGCATTTTAAATTTTGGAACACAGGTAGTACATAAGAAGGTATGTGTTATGACCGGCGTCACATATACCAGGAGGAGGCCCATTAGTGGCTGAGCTTGTGCGCCGGCATTAGAGGGCTAACAGCCCATATTATCTATTATTTAGCCTATTTATTAGATATATCCCTTATTTTTTAGAGCTATATATATGGTTTGTAAGACATTTGGATAATCAAGCAGAAACAATCTTAATTGTTTCCGGCTTCCTTTGGGAGCCGGGATTTGCCCTAGCCGCCGCCTGTTCATCTTCTCCACGCCTGCAACCTCGCGACGGCGCCCAGCCGCCGGCAGCAAGGTCCCAAGCCTGCTCCACCTCCCTCTCACCCCTACAGACTCCGTGATCTACGCGGTAGGATCCGTAATCCTATCAGTATGTGCGGTTGTTATTTAGTACAATAGTCATCCACTTTACTAGTATTTAAGGTATTGGCAGATCAGTCTTGAGTCCTAAGTGGTAATAGCAAATACATGTAAAAAACAGTAGATAATTGAAAAAGTTGTGGAAGTATTGATTGTCGAACAATCAAAGGACTGTTAACAAGTAAATGCATAGTGCTTTTATGCTTTACTTTTCTTTCAGTCAATATGGCCTGAATATACAAGCTTGGTAGTAAGTACTTATGACTGTTATACCTACTAAGCCTGCTCTTTTGAACTGATCTGACTCTAATTGGCAGTCAAACCCACAATCTAAAGAAGGAAACCATCAAGGATCAGTATGAACTGGTGAGTCTCAAGCACATCCTCCATGTTTAATAGCAGTTTGTCACCTGCTTTGTTAGGAAGGTAGAAACGAGAACTTAAAAAAAACAAATAATTTGTTGGGCAGGTGAAAACAAGAACCTCAAACTCGAATAAGTACAAAGAGGGTTCTCATGTTATGGAGTATGGTGATAAGACCTTCAAGGATGAGAAGCTTTTCCTTTATCAAGGTTTTGATCCTGCTAATGCCAACATGGCAAACATGCTGCTTTGGCCAGGCCCAAAGGGTGCAGTCAATCAAAGAGATGCTGATCTTCTCTTCATGTGGAAGAGGGTAAATCCTAGCTATTCTTTTATTCTCCCCATAATCATTTAAACTGTTCCTCTAAAAGAACTGCAATGATACAGATTTGCGGATTCTATAAAAAAAATGGATGCTATTCCGAGTAATATTCATGGAATATATCATGCCAAATAGGAATATTGGCTGTTTGTTGTTTTCTGTTCTTGTCCTCTACTTTGGTGAATTCAAACATGATGCGTTGTTGCACTAGGTAAAAACATGCAGAAACCATTTCACAGATGAAATCTCTGTAAATGACTAGTTATTTGTTCTTGAAAAGTATGCTACTTGCTACATTGCTTGATATATGTGGCATCATTACATTGTGTTGTTACAATAATATATTTATTTTTTTTTTATAACCATCCTTATGCCCATTTCCATGGGTTAGCTGGTAGAGTTGTTTATTTCTGTTTACCTGGTTATCTTCCAGAAATTCTTCACACAAAAGATCAGGCTCTTTTTTATTATTATTGTGTGTTGTTGATGATGATACCATGGGTATGCTTTAGTTTTTATGACCACTTTATTTCTTTTGTTGGAACACGCAAATTTAAGTCCTTAAAGTGCTCATTTGAAAAACAAGCCTAGGGGCTAGCAGCTGGCACATTTTCTACCTATGTTGTAGAGAAATTTAGATAATAATTGACAAGACAGTTCAAGAAAGGGGTTTTGCTTGTTCCATCACTGGCAAAAAGCTGTTGTGATTTTTCGTCCAAATTCAAACTATCACCATTAAAAGTTGAAACTATGTGGCTTGTTTGGTATAGCTTAACTAAGTCGTGTAGATGGGCTTCATACTTCTTAGAGAAGATAGGAGGAAGAACTAGCTTTTTAATACAAATGTGGTCTTGGTGAGAGGGCTGTTGCGATAGCACCACGCTTGAGAGGGTTAGGGCTGGTACATTCGTCTTGATGTCAAGCTCACTCCTCTAATACCAAGCTGAAGTTTTGCCAATCATTTGTGGTAGCCAGCAGCCTCCTATTAATGTTGTTTCCTAATGTTCAGTTATTTCTTTCAGTATGAGCAGTTAAATGGGGAGTCTGTAGAGAAGCTGAGGACTCTCATAGAGATCAAAGAAACTGTTCAACATAGGAAACATCTTGACAGCAGTATCGATTTCATTGGGAGGCTTGTCTTCGGATTTGAAAAAGGGCCTTCAATGCTTGAGGCCGTTAGAGCCACGGGTCAACCATTAGTCGATGACTGGGATTGTTTGAAGAGGATGGTGAGTATACTGATTTTTCTTATTCGACTCTGACATAAGGCATGCACATGAAGTTCCTTGCTATTGCACATTCGCATTCAGTCAGTGTCCAGTTGAACTTATTTAATCTTGATGGCTTTTGCTAGGTGCGGATTTTCGAATCCCATTGTGGTTCACTTACTCAGTATGGCATGAAGTACATGAGAGCGTTTGCAAACATTTGCAACAGTGGTATATCTGAGATGAAAATGAGGGAGTCAAGCATCAGCGCATGCAGCAGCTACAACTCGGCGAGGTGGAGCCCGATGGCTCAGGGACACAGCGCTTGATGATAGAGATCAATAGCAAAGGCCCCCGAGGTCTGCTGCCCCCAGGGCCTGTGTGCGAGCTCGTATCATCTGGGGACCGTGTGAACCCATGATCACTTGTATATATCATGATGTACTTATGTAAAGTAATGCCTAGTCTGATCTTCATCCAACTATCGAAATGATTAAGGGGGTGTTTGGTTCACTCCTCGTCTTCTAAATCTAGTCTTATTTAGTCACTTTTACTCAAGCACTATAACTAAATGGGACTAAAAAGTGTATTAGCCAACTAGTCACCTAAGTGTTGCTAAATAGGACTAAAGTCCACTTTTTAGTTAGACTGTCTCCTCTTTTAGTCACTTTGATCTAAACATCCTGCCTAAAATAAACTAAAATGCTTCTTTTAGTTCACTAAACCAAACAAGGGTGATTAAACTTTAGGAGCTAGCTTAGGTGACTAAATTTTAGGAGGTATAAATCAAACACGCCCTAATATCAGATGTGAATGCTGTTGCGAAGGATGATCGCAAGTAGGCCATAATCAGTGGACCAAAAAATGATGACCCAAATCAAGGTAGTGCTCCTCGGATAGCCCATATCTATTGCTAACAAAATGAGATTACATTACATGTGCTTTACGAAGCATTTTGCAGGCCATGCTAGTAGACCAATCTCTTTTCCGAGCCCATCCCTATGCCAACGTCTGAGAGTGGAAGCCCGTTCCAGTGGCCAAGCTAGCCTGCATCCAGACACCAGTTGCATGAGGTTAGTTAAGGCAAGGCCTGGATCCTGTGTGCATGATTGCACGACGCTTAGCAGGTCAGGGGGGCTTACATGTTTTCCTGAGGAACGAGATGAACACCACGAAGAGCGCCAGTCCTGCCAAGATGCCGACGATTATGGCCACAGTCCTCCCGACATCATCCTGCGAATAATCTGTGACCACAAGAGGACATCACATCATCGGATGCAGGATTAGAATAGCATATGCAAAGTTGCGCACTTGCGGCTTGCCCGAGTGCTCCTTTTGTTTTATCGGGAATATATTCATCGGCACTGGGGGTGGTTGGCCGCCGCCGTCAAGCCCCAACAATCCCACAATGTGCGTGTCTATCGCGGCCGCGCAGTCCTAAACCTGATAGGTATGCTTGGCGATAGGCATTTTTTGTTTAGTCTTTAGTGGCTATTGGTGGATCAGGACAATGTTTTGGATCGGTATATACGGCTAAAGAGAGAGAAATCGACGGCTAGCTTACGGCTGAAAGTGCTTTGCATCTGTAGGTGACCAGTGGCGGATACAGAATAGAATTGAAAGAGGCCTGGTCTCTTCTTCTTCCTCTCTCTTTATTTTTCTTATTTCCTCCACCTCTTCTTCTTCCTCACCCTCTCCATATTTCCAGCTTGGGGTGGGGGGGGGGGGCGCTGGAGTCCTCCCTGTAGATCCGCCGCTGCAGGTGACGATGCAGGGATGCAGGGCGAATCCTATTCACTCTTTTGGTCCCTTTTTTTTTTTGGATACTGCAGTCACTTCAAAGCATCTACTACCTGATTATACTGGGTCCAGTTGTATCGCACGCGGTCCACTAGAAACTCCAGGATGATTAGCATACCAAACCCCCATAATATATTGGACCGGATTGTGCTGGAGCCGCTACTGATTTGACTGATGAGGTGGAATGGAACAGAGAATGTTGCCACCGGTCGTTATGGCGCGCGCGGCGCGGTGGTCACTTGTCAGCAGTCAAGTGATTGCTATCTTGTCTCTTTCTCCTTTGCTGTTCTAGACAGCGTCCTGTGCTAATCTAGACAGCGCGTTCGAGCTATTGCCAATTGGTACCAAAAATTTTCAAGTAACAAGCACGATTGATCTAGACAACTGAAAATTAAGCCGTTGGGAGTGAGCTTTCCTGTGGAATTACTCGCCTAGTTGCCTCTCGTCCTGATCGCCATCCATTGGCATGCGGCATGCCCATAGGGAGAAAAAGAGTGAAAGAGGACATATTCTGCCTCATCTCTTTGTTACAAACTTTGGAAAGTTTACCTATCGCCTACTGGAATCAATTCCTGCTGCAACTCGAGATGGGCAACTCGCAAATTGCGATCCGTAGTACGCGCACTAGGCAGCACTAGCAGTCTAGCACTGCAGCATCAGTATTTTCGCCGTGTCGAAGGCTCAAACGCAAGGGCAAAACCGATAACAATTTGCGTTGGAAAATAGTTTGTGCGTACGGCCGTACCTTGTGTCGGGCGGAAGTAGTAGCCGTTGGCCCAGTACCTGACGTAGCACTGCGCCAGGTAGACGTCGGCGGCCAGCGCGGTGCCGCAGGTGCCCTTGAGCTGGCCGACCGCCTGCGCCAGGCACGCCGTGCAGTCGGCCGCCGCGAGGTCGCCCAGGCACTGCGCCACGCCCTGCACGCCGCCGGAGCTGCTCACCTTGTACCCGCCGCTGGCGCCCACGCCCTGCACCTGCTGCAGGTCCCCGAGCACGGCGTCCCGGTTGCTGAGGAACCCGCCGTCGCTGCTGCTGCTGGTGCTGCACTTGCGGTACACCATGGCGGCGTCGGGCGTGCCCAGGAAGTTGGTGCTGTCGTACCGCACGTAGCACCCTTCCAGCTGCAGCGACGCCGCGTACGCCGCCGCGCACACCTGGCTCAGCTGCGCCAGCGCGTCCCGCACGCACGCCGCGCAGTCGGCGCCGCCGCCCAGGTCGCCGCGGCACTGGTACAGCCCGTACGCGGCCGTGCCGTTGGCACCCGCCGTGAAGCTGTTGTACCCGGCGTTGGGCGCCGCGCTGGCGATGGAGGCGAGGAGCGACCCCAGGTTGCCCTCGAAGGGGGTGCCCGGCTGGTACTTGGACGGCGAGCAGCCGGCGTAGATGAACGTGCCCGTGGCCGCCTCGCCGACGCCCGCCGCGCCTAGGCCGATGATGATGGTGGCGGCGAAAACAACCGCAGCGACCACGCGGGAGCGGCAAAGATGGCTGCGCGGGCGATGCATGACTGACGATGAGACGGAACTGCGCGCGTTCTTGCCGTGCGTCGCTGGGTTCGATGGCCCTGGGGCTCGGGAGCAGTGGCGATCGCCCGATGCTTTTCCGAGTCCTTGTCTAGGCAGTGCCAGTGAGGTGGGGAGATTACAGAATAAATGCGCGCTTTCGTTGCGCTTGGGGAAGCCGCAGGACTTTGTGGTGCGCGCGCGGCCTCTCTAGAAATTTTATACTACGTCGTTCGAGTCCACACGACGATTCCTGCTCGAACGGCTGGCCGGTGACTCTGGTCTGGCTCCGGTCCATCCGGCATCGTCGTCAGTCAGGCGAGAGCGAGACTACACGAGGCGTAGGCACAGGGGAACGAACGGCCGTCGGTTCTCCTTCTCTGTCTCCCCAGCTGGCGATAAGAGTGCAGCATGGGCAGTTGCGTGGCGCGACTCCGACTGTTGTCGCAGACCGGTGACGCCTTGACATGGTAGTATAATTTAGCACACATGGAATGGAAGCACAAGTACATGGAACAGCAAATAAAGCCTAGCTTATTGCATTGAATCGAGAGATTTGGCGAGTTCAGATCATCTCATTCAAGGTCTGGGTTTTCCACTAACATCTTTGGCAGCACTGCATGCTTCCCTCTTTTCGATTTGCTTCAGCAAGTCATAATCGCATTCACGAAGAAACGGTTCTCCCCCAAGGCGTGAGAGTCGACCCAATTGAAATGGCACATGCCACTCATCAAGGCGTGAGACGTCTTCGCCTTTCGAAAGAAGTAATGTGGCCTCTCTTCTTTTCTCAAGGTGAATGGCTGCTTCCGCTGGATCTTCAGGAACGTAAGTGTTCCAGTCGTGCACATATTGTGCATAATATTTGAATATCTTGAACCGGCGAGCCATCTCGGCATGGTCGCGTTGCTTCTTGAAAGCCTTGCACCAGCGCTCGTGCAAGGCCCATACAGCTTCATCCGACTCCATGTCCTTGTCCGTCGGAGTCTTAGCGTCATCTATGACAGTTTTATGGGAATTAGTAGTAGCGTCGAGAACGCACAGCGAATAGCATGCAATTTGGCTTGTCGCGCGAGCACAAATAGTTTATGAGATGGATGGATTCGTAGCCCTCCCTATCGACGATACACCAGGAAGAGGGTGGGATTGGTTTACCTGGCAAGTGCGCGTAATCGGCGTTGGAAGGGAAGACATCGCCGGCGCTGGAAGGGGAGCTGGCGGCTGCGGCTACGCTGGCCGCACGCGCCGAGTGGGATGCCATCGCAGCGGAGCGAGACGCGAGTGGCGCTTTACGGACAGCCCGCAGGAGAGTCGCCATTGTTGACATGGCGGCGGCGAGAGACAAGGCGGGTGCTTTTGGTTGCTGCAGATCTGATCTGTGGGTTAGATCGGTTTTTTGTATCTGCAGTTTTATCAAAACCCGTCTAAAATTTCTACCAAAAAAATCGGTCTAAAATTATGGCCCCGTTCACTTCGCTGAAAAAACAAATTAAAATATTATTCCGACTAATTTATTATAAAAAAAACGCTACCCCAAATAAAAAAATAAACTAAAAAAATATGAATTATAATCCAAACGAACAGGGTCTACAAATTTCATCTCCCAACAAACTCGAGCCCGCGCCATCGGAATAATGGCATGTTTGTTCATCAGTTTATGGTAATCGCGACTTGCTTTCTCGTGATTCGTGGATTTGTGTGTCCGTCTATCGTGACCGATTCTGGATCGGCGACCCGGGGAGAGGATTAGTAGGCCCATCGATCGTTGTTCGTCCGGGTGTGATCGCTTCCATGACTCATAACAGTGGCACGTACTATGATAGTAACGTCAATTCAGGGGTTACTTCAGCAGCAAGCCGGCACTGATCCCCGGCTGTTGGTATGGTTCAATGGATGCGATCCACCGAATCCAGTGTGATTTTCAGGGGACGACGAATTCCATCTACTACCTGCAGTAGATTTCAGAATTCTGATGATTCTGATGGATGCACCTACTACGTGCATTCAGCCTATTCGATTGGTCGTAAACGATCGTAAATTTTCAATTGGAACATTATTTTTCTCTCACACCAAACCAAACAGTAGTAAATAATCCACGATCGTTTACGGCCTCCCGACGACGCTGATTATCGGCAACATCGAACTATCGAAGCGTCTAGAGCACTACGGTTTCCTTCCATCGCAGGACGACACGATCGAGCCCGGGCTTTACTGGATTCCTCGAGATAAAAAAAAACGAGCACGAAAACGAAATTCCAGTCGCCCAACAGCTAGGCAGACTGCCGGACTTGAGACCGGACTGGACTTCGACCGGAGACAGACGTGCAGACAACGACCGCACTCACCCTCCGCCTTTTCAGCGCATCCCTGTGTTCCACGTTCCTTCCGAGGACCGGACGGCGGGCTGTACGGACTCCCTCCGTCCACGAAAGATGCAATTATGGGATATATGTCAGATCAAAGTAATTCAAGTTTAACTAATTTTATTATAAATATTATTAGCAATTATGTCTCTAAATAAATTTATTATAAAAATATATTCTATAACGAATCTAAAGGTATTTATTTTGCATCTTGAATGTTAGTATTTTTTTTTATATAAATTTAGTCCAAATTCAAACTGCTTGACTCATCGGAAAACAAGAATTGTATTATTTTGTGGACAGAAATAGTACCCGTGAACGACGAACATGCCGCAAAATCCTGGGCCCGTCTTGGCGTTGTGCCGCATGACCGCGTCGTCGTTCTATGGCGTCGATTCCATGGAGACCTAGAAGCATACTCCCTATGTCCCTCATCGCTTTCCGAAAAGTTATACGTAATCGATTTTAATAAAATATAAATAAAAATATAATTAACATATTTAGAAATACAAATATTATTAGTATTTTCTATAAATTAAATTTTAAAAAGTTTGATCAGCACGCTTCCTATATAGTGACAAATAAAAAAGAAAATTACTAGCGCTTGGACGTTCGGAACATATGAGTGCATTCGATCGCCCTGTGCATGCTGCTGCCCTAGCCCGCCTGTCCTCCCACGCCTGCCGCTACGCGCGTATCGCTGCTGCAGGCGCAAGTCCATCCCATGTCTGCCACGCCCGCCCTGCACGCGTACCACGCTCTTGTACACATCGCCCTGCCCCGCATGCGCACCTCGGTTATGCCCGCCACTCCACCCATCTGACTCACTCCTCTCTCCGTGCGGGTAGGACCCGGGAGCCTGGATGAGGACGAGCACGCCCCGTCCGTATAGTAGGACCCAGGCGTGCTGTGCGCCCCATCTGCCGATCCTCGACTCGCCGCGTCCCTTCCCCAACACCTGTGATGTGCCCCATGAGTCTGAAACATGAAACACTTGCAACATGAAACACTTCAATACAAAATACGGAGTAAGTATTCCAGTATGAAGTAGATAAAATATTTGGAATATACACTTACAACATATATGTGAAACATATGTAACATCCACATAAAATACTTGCAACATAAAACTAAAACAACGAAAATATTTCAAACATACTCTTGCAACATATGTGTGAAACATGTACAACATCCAGATAAAAACGCTTGCAATATACGTATGAAACATATGAAACATTTTGAACAAATGCTATATGAAACATTTTGAACAAATGCTTGCACCATGCCTCTTAAACACTTGCAACATATGCAGCATACTGATCTACTTTTACAACATTCATATGAAACACTAACAACATACCTCTGATAACATTTGAAACATTTAAAACATACATTTGCAACATAGGGGGAGGGAGAGGCTAGGGTTGGTTGATTTCGGCCTTAGAGTGGGAGCTGGCGCTGAGCAGCAGCGCGCGAGCACCACCAGCACAGGCCATGCTTCGTGGGTGCTATTGGCTTAGTGGGGACCGACCTGAGGCACGTGACGGCACCACCAGCGCCAGCAGAGGCAAGCGGCGCTGCCCCTGCCCGATCTCATCCGCATCGCTGGATGCCATCGCTGAGGGAGGATGCAGACCGAGCTCTGTGGAGAAGAGAGGCGGAGGCAGATTAGTCGCTGCTCCTGGGTCAAGGTGCTGTCGGAGTGGGACGGAAGCGTGCGGGTGAGCGCGATGAAACTGAAGCCACGCGATGGTCGATGAACTATGGTGGAGAGGAAAGAAGGTGGCCGGTGGCGCTTAGGTGAGGTGGAGATAGAGGATGGCGGTCGACCAACCACGGTTTAGAGTGCCGAGGGAGCACGGTCATAGTGGAGCGCGCAACTGAAATTCAGCGACAAGTAGGGATTGGGGAATGACGTTTCTAGAGACCCGTGAGTGAAGAAGACAGCCAAACTTTTTTATCAAATAGCTGATTGTAGGAGACAACCGAGATAGATGGGTCATTCGTACCGTCCCGACCCACGGCAACGGGGGCGTCCGGACGATCGGACGCCCTGACCCTAGCATTTTCTAATAAAAAAGGATAGAGAAAGTAGTGCATAGCAGTAGCCCTGGGAGGGCCCATGGTTAACCGTGACATTTGTTCGCTATGGGTTTAAGCCACTTTTTAGGCTTTTGCTTATGTGTGTAATTATTTTCCAACATGCTTCTATAATATCTTCCTAAATAATTTTACATTGGGACCCAAACTATTTGTCGGTACGAAAAGTGACCAACAAGTAAATATTTGTCGTTTTACCGTACGTTGTGATCGAATGTGGCCTAGCACTCAATGACACAGAGTTTATACTGATTCAGACAACGTGTTCTACGTCCAGTTTGAGTCGATCAGTGACTTTATTCCTAAGCCCATGTGCTCGAAGTTTACTGTGTGGTTACAAACGAGTGGGAATAAGATGGGGGGTGTTAGAAGTCCGATCGAACTCTGGACCGAAGGGCCAAGAGTGACGGAATCTCCTATGTGCGCTAAGTATTGGGACGTATGCTCTGTGTTGATTTAGAGTTCTAGAGCCATAGAACTGTTTGAGTGCTCTGAATATCTAAAGCTAGCAGAGAGAGAGTCAGAACGAACCGTCTGTTTAGG